TTGAACTTTACCGGTACCAGCATAAGTTAACGGTTACGGCCGTTATAAATCAGGTTTTAAGGCTACTTCCACTTAACGCTCGCAATGCTCGCGAGCATCGTTTGTCCTTGTTTAACATTTGATAAACGACGCGATTGCGACGCGAACAAACCTCTATTGTAGATCCGGGGTTAAGCACGGATCGGAATGACGGATCGGATTTCTCACTGGAATTGAGCATTCCATTCCAGTTCCGTTCCGCAACAGTTTTACCCGTCCCATTCAGTAAAAATGGAACGAAATCTGGTTACAAAATATATTTCACCATTACAATTCAGTATTTTAGAAAACTCATGACAATGTTATCGGCAAGATAATTGCACAAATTATATGTATATTATTGCTTCAACTGCCCAAAATAACGAAATATCGATGAATCAAGCACATTTACCTACGATCGAGACGATATTCCGTTCCATTTTTAACGAACAGACTATAGACTTATATAACCGCCCATAGAGCGGTATTCATAGTCCGTTCTTATTTTAAGACTGTCTTAAGTACGGGTGAAATCACACGATGCGGAAAAAGACTGCGGAATAGAGAATGCGTCATTGAAGCAACCAATCAGCACTATTCCGAATAGCGCTGAATAGCGCTGATTGGTTGCTTCAATGACGCATTCTCCATTCCGCAGTCTTTTTCCGCACCGTGTGATTTCACCGTAATGTATCTTAAGATGCTAATGCGGTTCTCTGATTGGTTCATGATATCTTAAGACTGAAGACGGTCTTAAATATAAGATCAGACTATGAATAGAGGCAAAGAGAAACCTGAATCTCTATTAATTTGATAGATTTTAGTTATTTCAGCGATTTATTTCCATCAGGAGTGTCGTAAAAAAATGGGTATTGTGTAGTTTCCATTCGCTTCATCAGAGGGCAGTAGTGCACGGTAGAACATAAAGTCACTAGATATCTGTGATATAACTAGTGTGTGCACTTTTAAATACTGCACACATTTGGTGCATCCAGAAGCATGACCGCTCATTGAGCGCTCAGTGAACTCTTATAATTGTTGGTCAGTTTTTAGATGTAATGGAATATGTCAGATGCAAGAGCTCACTGAACGCTCAGTGAGCAGTCGTGCTTCTGGATGCATCCATTGTAAGGCCGGAATCAGACTACACATTGAATATTGAGATTGCAGATTGAAAGATTGAAATTTGACTAATCAAAACAATAAGAGCTAAAATACTTTGTCCTCACTGGTCAAATTTTAATCTTCAATCTTCAATCTCAATCTTCAATGCGTAGTCTGATTCCGGCCTAATGCGTTCCGGAAAAAATCGAATTTCACTAATATTACCGATATACACATATACTATATATTTTAGCTTAAACTTTTTCTCAAGAAATAAACTCTTGAAAATTATTATGTACACATTTGTAACTTGAGCGTATAATATATGGAATTATAACAATTGTGATCACGATTTTTCCAATTAATCAACCAAAGCATCAATCAAATATTTTATCTATGTAATTAAATGCATATTTTATCTCTCAACTTTAACGCGAGTCATTGGAAAATAAAATATAAATAAAAAGAATGTTAAAATGTCACTTTCACCTTTAATAGATTTAATTATTAATACGCAATGAATATTATAATAAGGGATGAAATTTTTAAAGAAATAAATTATTTTTTATCACTGTTTGGTATTTATCGTTTCATTTTATTTCAAATAACATGGTATTAAAAAATGCCTGATAAAAACTATTTTTAAAAATATTGACGCAACTAAACAATAAAGGCTCAAAAACGTACTTTTATTGAAACAAATAGCAATTACGTCGGTTTTAGTTTGAGCTATCAGTCTTTCCAGGTATTTTCTTGCATTCTTTACTTTAGTTTGTAAACATCTTTAAAAAATATGAGAGAGACACGATACATCTATGTACATATTTCTGATTTGGGTATTCATTATGGAATTATTCGAAATGGATTCCGATCGGAATTATTCGATTATTCCCTAGATTTCTATTGTATTTTCTAGGGAAAACGAAATAATTCCGATCGGAATCCATTCCGACTTATTCCATGATGAGTGCCACGGATTACGTAAATGATCACGTCGAATTTCTTGAGGCAAAATTTCTTTACAAATATAAATGGGGATATATAATACGCTGTTGAGGCTCAATATCTACATAGAATATTGTTTTGTCGTGTTTATACTCGTATATACATATGCAGAGTTGGCAAGTAACGCGTTATATATACTTGTAACATTGTTATCGTTATAAGTTATTTTTTTCGGTAACGATTGGGTAACGACGTTACATTTTCTTCTGAATAACGTTCATCGTAACGCAGTTACATTTTTGGGGTAATGGTAATGATTTCACTAGTTACTTTTATCGTTACTCTATTTCTATTTACATAAAAGTTTCAATCGTAACTAGAGCGTACATACATTTATCAGTTTTTGAGTTTTATTTCTCTACTAAAAAATAGAATTCTGACATCTTTTTTGTATTTACCGCAGGAATTTAATTACGCATATAATGGCGTTTTTCATTGGCAGAATGCACTAATGCGCATTCAGTGCACTTTAAAGCCGCTGTACAATCGACGTAAAGATCATGTATGGTTAATAAAAAATAGAAACGAGTTAAAAACCGCGAATCCTCAATACATTTTATCAGGGTTGGGTAGTGCTAAATTAAAAAGATAAAAGTTAAGTAAAAAAGTTAATTAATTTTAACTTAACTTAGTTACATTTTAGACTCTTAACTTTTTAACTTAATTAAGTTACATTTTATCGGTAACTATTAACTTTTAATTTGATTTTTTCTAAGTTAATCCTCAAACACAATGCGGAAGGATAATGAGTATATAATTTTGTAATTTTATATTGTATAATCGTTACTTGTGAACAAAAATAACCAGAGATTCTTTAATAAATATGCTATGAGGAAGGAAAAATTATGAGATACGAAAAATTATGTAAAATGATTAAATTTTTTCTTTTTCTTTTTGATTGTTCGGATCAAATTTAACTTTTAACTTTTCAATTACTTTTTTTATTAACTTTTAATTCAATTAATTTCATTATGGATTAACTTGTATTTTAATTAAGATAAATTTTCAAGGCTGTTAACTTAACTTAATTTATTGTTAGTTAAAAAAAAGTTAACTTGCTCAACCCTGCATTTTATTATGCTATTTGATAAAATTTACTTTATTAATTGAGATATCTCATTTCTACATTTAGAGTTTCGTACAACGGCTTTAATGTGCACTGAGTGCGCACAAGTTCTGCCAATAAAAAGCGCTGTAATATTCTATTAGTGTCAAGAAAAGAAAATAACGAAAAAGACTAGTTACATTCTGAAGAACGGTAACGGTAATGAGTTACTTTTGCAAATCAATAACGAGTAACGAGTTATTTTTATGAGGTAACGTTGCCAACCCTGTGTACGTATGTGTATACATGTAGTTTTTGTGACATAATACGATATAAGGGGCCAGTTTCATCAACGTGTCAATAAACTTAATCGGCCGTTAACTGAATCGCGTTAACCAATCGCATTTGCTGTTTAGTAGAATTGGCCAATCACAGTTGACAGTTAATCACGATTAAGCTTAATCGCCGTTGGTGAAACCGGTCCTAGGTCTGTTCGCGTTGCTCGAAATCCCCAAAAAATTTTGATTAAAATGAGACATTAGATATATATATATATTTGGGCATTGAAAAGAGAGAAAGCGAAGATACTGAGTGCAAAACGTGCAAGCAACGCGAACAGATTTCTTAGACTAGAGATTCTCAATTACAGGATAACGCACAAAACATCATGTCACTTAATTATTTCATTGAAATTGAATTTGCGAGGTATCGTTGTTTTTTTTAACAATGTAAACAAATTCTGTACTTTGTGGAAATTCTGCTAGGTGTGATATCAGAATTGAGCAGTGAGGTGATGACGCCAATTTGTGAAATAGTGGATAACGAATGGTTGACTTAGGGCCACTGTCACCAAACTCAGTTAACTTAACTGGGCCAATTAATCCATCGGAATTGACCAATCTGTCAATTCTTCAAACAAAATGACAAATGCGATTGGTCAATTCCGATGGACTAACTGGCCTAGTTAGATCAACTGAGCTTGGTGGAGGACAGTGGCCCTTAGGATGTATTCCGAACCGGATAGCTTAGCTTATTTTTTCCCTTAGATGTTGACAGTTCCGTAACCCCGGATCTATAAGAGTTTTAAGCCTTAAGCCATAAGAAATGGACGAATCATACTCGATTATTCTCCTTAAATTCGACTGTGATTGGTCAATTTCTTACGACTTTAGTAATGACTAAAGTAAATGGTACGATACTCTTTACGTGCCATCTTGTATTTAAAAGATTGATGTGTCTGTCTTCACTCGTCTACCCAATTTCGATTCCTGATATTTGTACCTTATGGAATTTCCACGAAGTTTGTTCATACAGTCAGAAAAACCAATATTCCAAAAGTACTAATGAGATAATTAAATGGTGACATTTCGTTACTTAATATGTATTTAATAGCAAAAAGCAATGTATTATTCAAATGCATGTTACGTTAATCCTGTTGAATATGAAAACCTCTAGACTCTAGATTATATCGAAATGATCTATGCTTCTTCATTTTGCATACATATTACATTAATACAATTAACATTAACAATATTATGATATATAAATGCGACATCATCTTTTGAATAATCCGCGAGCCGATAACTCGATCGTACATATGTATATTCCTTCCGAGGTTTATTGGATGTTCCACTTTTTCAAGATACAATATTGCAAAGATCACCACTTCAATACTCGAATTTGTCATATTTTCACTTGACAAATTAGGGCCTTAGCAGAAAGCTGACTTATAATCTTAAGACAGTGTCTTGACTTAAAGTCTTGTCTTTAGTAATGCACAAGAATTGTCTTAAGATATAAGTCAACCTTTCTGCTACGGCCCTTAAGCGTAACGTAAGGGGGGTTACATACATGTCATCCATGCGTCAAAAATCGACACAGTTGAGCAACATTAATTATCAAAATGCATCAACTTGTTTTGGGATACGGGTTGATATAATGTCAAAAAATGCAGTAGGAACACATTATTCAAATGTCCCTCTTCAAATTTTAGCCAGGATTCGGACAACGATCAACAATCAGAGTTCTAATTAGACGTATCAAACATCAAATACTTTTTTTAATGGCAGTTTTTAAAATTTACTTTCCACACAGAATGTGAAAATCTTTACGAAAAGTTATAAATTGTCCTTCGTAGATGTATCACAGTGTGCGGTATTTTCTCGCGAGGAGCTTTGTGCGGGGAATCAGCAATCTTAAACATCAATGCCGAGCAATTCTCGGCTATCGGCCTTTGAAAATCGGCGACGTAAACTGCGACGACGAAACTCCCTCCATCAGACGGACGCACGTTTTACTCGGAGACTGGCAGAAGTCGGGGGTGGTCGATATCCCTGATATCCGGAAGGATCCAATAGTTCAGAATTCGCTGGGCCTAGACAAGTGCAAGAGCATACGCTCACACAATCGTCCGTGTCGTGCACGACAGGCACGTGACTGGCCAAAAGCTTTCCATTTACCGCCACAACTTCGCCGTCTAACGTCAAAACGTGATGGGAAGCCGATTGCAGCTCAGTGTCGTCACGTCGCGCTTCACCGGAATCCCTAAAGTGACATTTCGCAAGATATTAATAATTTTTTCACATATCTGTAAAATAATTCGCCTTCTATTACAGAAAATGTAAATATTTACGTCGTCATGAAGCGCAATACGAGCAAATTAATACTGGCAGCAACTACGGCCAAACCAAATAGGATAAAGATCAAACTCAAAATCACATATCCAGGTTTATTGGAAAGCGCTTGATCATTCTGCAAAGTAATTTGTCTATAAATCTTACTGCTTCTCTCGCTGACGATCAATCAAACGTTATTTACCTGAAGAGCGACATAGTCACCAAAACCTATAGTTGTAAGCGTCACAAAACAGTAATAAAAACTATCAAAGTAGCTCCAACCCTCGTATCTCGAAAACACTGCAGCACCTGTCGTTATAATTATACTTGAAAGTAAACCAGTCGCTAGCATGAGATTCATCTCTGTAGCTTCGGTTCTTTGACATCTGAGATACGTCTTTGCTCGTCTAATCACAACTGATGCAAACTTGTTCAATCGTTCACCAATGCTTTGGAACATTACTAATCCCAAAGGAATTCCTACCACTGCATATACCATACAAAATGCTTTTCCGGTTTTGGTCACAGGAGTGGAATGTCCGTAACCTTACAGAAAACAATTTTTTATTAAACTTTTATCAAAATACTATTATCTCATTCACTCACTTACTCATTTTATGAGCATTTTATTTTAATATCAATTATAAATTATATCTGTTGTGTTGTTGTTTGATACAAAACATAATTTTTCATTAAATTTTGATTTATCATCTAATCTTTAATATGTGTACACATTAAAATTTTAAACAATTTTCGAAGATAGCCCTGGCGATAATTCTTCTTTGTTCTTTATATAATTTTTCAGAACGTTTACATATAATAAGTTTTAGAATGTTTGTATATTTCATAACCTCTTTTAAAATATTTCTTAGAGTTTTTACGAATTGAAATATTTTTCAGAAATGTTAAGTCTCCATTTTTTCTATGTGTGTATCTTTTCTATATGTATATGTATATGTGTGTATGTGTATGTGTGTGTGTATATATATATATATATATACACATACACTCTACCTTGATCAAAAGGTTCCCGGAATTACCACCAGGTGATGCTCTGAGTCAGCTGATTTGAGTTGTTTTTTTTTGGTTAGGTTGCCACATCTATCATTGACATTTCCATCAAATTTTATCGCCATAGCTTGACATTTGTAAAAGTTACGCAGTCTTGAGTACATCTACCTCTGTACGTGTTTTCGATTTTTTATAGTTTTAAAAATGGAGTTGAATTTGCAACAACGAGTTTGTATTAAATATTTTGACCAAGAACGAAACGAATACCATCCAACAGCCATCGAATTCACCCGATATGGCTCCC